GGAAGGTCTTAGCTGAGCTCCCAGCCAACAGCCAGCACCAACTTGCCAGTCTGGTACATGTACCTAAGTCAATATGTTGCAGCCCACACTGCGTGGACATGAGCAAGCTCTGCCTAATCCCTCCCAATCCCAAATTTTGGAACAAATTAAGTGAGTAAAAAATGTACCCCTATATGTTCTGTGTAACAGTCAAACTCTTTACCATGCCAATTTTAGTTCTTAACAACCTAACTCTGCCTACCTTTTCATACTTCTCTCCTACTACTCCTTAATCAAATCTCCCTCTCTAGCTAGATTTGATGATTTCCTGAACACACTTTGAGCAATTCTGCCTCCCAAACATATACTGTACCTTCTACCTGAGCAGCTCTCTCCCATCTCTGCCCACCCTCTCAGATCATGAGCCACCTCCTTCTCAAAATCTTCCTAACTATTCTACTTCATTTCTCTCTAAGTCTGTGGCTCTTATGCTCTCTCTCATTTGGCACTTATTTATAGTTTGGTTCCATTAATCATTTTCTTCTTGATATTCTTTATTAAAATAACATGTAATTTATTGCTACTCCAAATCTCATTCAAACTGTTTGCCATAATCCTTTCAAGTGTGGAAATTGAAGGTAATCATTTAGAAACTTTTACAGCAATTTGATAGAGTAATTTTATGCACATTGAACCTAATCATGAAATAATTAGCCTTGTCTTTGCCATATCATTTTCTAGTAATTACTATTTCTTTAAAAATAGACTTCAGAACAGTTTTAGATATACAGAAAATTGAGCAAAACATACAGAAACTTCTTGTATAATCCCTGCCCTCCCCCATCCCCTGCAAGCTCTAGTATTAACATCACACACCAAAGTGGTACATTTGTTGTAATTGTTGACACATCATATTACCCAAAATTTATTGTTTACATCAGAGTTCACTCCTGGTATTATACCACAAGGCAGTTTGACTATAATTGATTTTTAATTGCATTTTACAAAATTATCAGTTATGACTGATTAGAAATAAAAAACAAAACCGGTCTAACAGAGTTTGAGAAATACTGTTAACAATGAAACCTACTTGAGGCACTAGACTATAGCACAAAGTTTCTCAACCTCAGCACTATTAACATTTTAGATGGATCATTCTTTATTGTGGAGTCTGTGGTGTGTATTGTAGGATGCTAAGCAGCACGCTTGGGTCTACGTAGACCGTCACATGCTAGAATACCTCCAACCGCTGAGTAGAGTCAACCAAAATTGTTTCCAGACATTGCCAAATGTCTCCTGGGTCAAAATCAACCCAGGTTGAGAACACTACCATAATGGTTAAGAGCAGTCCTGCGACAAGAGTAAATTGTTCAAGCTCCAAATCTAGCCCTGCCACTTAATTAACTGTATATCTTTGGGCAAGTAAATTAACTCATTTTCCCTATTAGTCAAATGATTAATAAAAGTACTAACATTAAAGGCTTTTGTAAAGCAAAAATGATTTAACAAAGAATATATAAACCACCTAGAACATTTTTTGAGACATAGTAAGAATCCAATAAACAAAATACATAGTTTCTCTTAATTCTGGGCTACTTGCAGTGCATATAAAAATGAATAGATATTTCGTCCCATTCTTAGATCCAAGGGAAACCATAGCTTAGTGATAGTGCATAGGTAGAGACAGATATGAAAATAATTACTATATATATTTATAAATGTTATAAAGAGGCAAGTGAGCGAATGACTGTCTTAAACTGGTTTGTGCATATGGGTAAGAATGTACAGGCATAACTCTTTTTATCGTGTTTCACTTTATTGAGCTTCGCAGACACCGTATTTTGTTGTTGTTGTTGTTGTCATCTTACAAACTAAAGGTTTGTGGCAAGCCTGCATTGAGCGACTATATTGATGCCATTTTTCCAACAGATTGTCCTCACTCTTCGTGTTTCTGTGTCATATTTTGATAACTCTCACAATATTTCAAAACTTTTCATTATTATATCTATTATGGTGATTGATGTTACTACTGTAATTGTTTTGGGGCACTATGAACCATGCCAATATCAGACAGAGAACTTAATAGGTAAATGTTGTGTGTGTGCTGACTGCTCCACCAACTGGCTGTTCCCTGCCTCTCTCCCTCTCCTTAGGCCTCCCTGTTCCCTAAGACACAATGATATTGAAATTAGGCCAGTTGATAACCCTACAATGGTCTCCAAGTGTTCAAATGAAAGAAAAAATCACACCTCTCTCACTTTAAATTAAAAGCTAGAAATGATTAAGCAAGGTGAGGTAGGCATGTCAGAAGCCAAGATAGGCTGGAAACCACACCAGTTAGCCAAGCTGTGGATGCAAAGGGAAAGTTCTTGAAGGAAATTTAAAGTGCTATTCCAGTGAAGACACGAATGATAAGAAAGCAAAAACAGACTTATGACTGATAGGGAGAAAGTTCGAGTGGTCTGGCATTGAAAATCAAACTAGCCACAACACTCCCTTAAACCAAAGATGAATTCACGGCAAGGTCTTAACTCACTTCAATTCTGTGAAGGCTGAGAGAGGTGAGACAGTTGCAGCCAAAGAGCTTGAAGCTAGCAGAGCTTGGTTCCTCAGGTTTAAGGAAATAAGCCATCTCCATAACACGAAAGTACAAAGTGAAGCAGCAAGTGCTGATGCACAAGCTGCAGCAAGTTATCTAGTTCTAAGTAAGATAACCGATGAAGGTGGCTACACTAAACAACAGATTTTCCATGAAGACAAAACAGCCTTCTCTTAGAAGATGCTGTCTAGGAGTTTCATGTCTAGAAAGTCACTGCCTGGCTTCAAAGCTTCAAAAGACAGGCTGACTCTCTTGTTAGGGGCTAATGTGGCTGGTGACTTGAAGCCAATGCTCATTGACCATTCTGAAATATCCTAGGGCTCTTATTCTTTTAAATCTACTCTGTCTGTGCTCTGGAAATGGAAGAACAAAGCCCGGGTGACAGCACATCTGTTTACAGCATGATTTACTGAGTATTTTAAGCCCATCTTTGAGACCTACAGCTCACAAAAAAAGATTCCTTTCAAAATAATACTGCTCAAAGACCATGTACTTGGTCACCCAAGAGCTCTGATAGAGATGTACAAGGAGATTACGCTGTTTTCATGTCTGCTAACACATTCATTCTGCAGCCCATGAATCAAAGAATAATTCTGACTTTCAAGTTATATTATTTAAGAAATACATTTTGTAAAGCTATAGCTGCCCTAGACAGTGATTCCCCTGATGGATCTGGGCAAAATAAATGGAAAACTTCTGGAAATGATTCACCATCCCAAATGCTAGTAAGAACATTCATGAGTCACGGGAGGAGGTCAAAATAGCAACATTAACAGGAGTTTGGAAAAAGTTGATTCCAACCCTCATGGATGACTTTGAGGGGTTCAAGACTTCAGTGGAGGAAGTGACGAAAGATCTGGTGGCAATAGCAAGAGAAATAGTGGAGCCTGAAGATGTACCTGAATTGCTGCAATATCACGATAAAACTAGTCGATAAGAAGTTGCTTTTTATGAACGAGCAAAGTTCTTGAGATGGAATCTACTCCTGGTGAGGATGTTGTGAATATTGTTGAAACACCAACAAAGAATTCAGAATATCACAAAAACTTAGTTGCTAAAGCAATGGTAGGGGTTAAGAGGATTTACTCTAATTTTGAAAGAAGTTCTACAGTGAGTAAAATGCTTTCAAACAGCATCGCCGTTTACTAAGAGATTAGTAAAAGATTCACTAAGAGAAATCTTTAGTGAACGGAAGAGTCAACTGCTGTAGAAACTTCATTATTTTGTTATTTTAAGAAACTGCCACAGCAACTCCAATCTTCAGCAACCATCACCCTGACTGGTCAACAGCCATCAACATCAAGCAAGACCCTCCACCAGCAAAAAGATTAGGACTTGCTGAAAGCTGAGATGATTGCTAGCATTTTTAGCAATAAAACATTTTAAAATTAAAGTATGCACAGTTTTTTTTAATACATAATGCTATTGCACACTTAATAGGTTACAATACAGTGTAAATACAACTGTTATATGCACTGGGAAACCAAAAAAATCATGTGACAGGCTTTACTAACTTTATTGTGGTGGTCTGGAACCGACCCCGCAATATCTCGGAGGTATGCTTGTACATTATTCATGGAAAAAGTATTATTTTAATGACGTTTTGAAATAGTGAAAAAGTAGAAAAATGAAGCATCCAAGGGAAAACAGTAAAACTCGGACGGCAGGAAAGCTCGGGAAAAACAAAACAAAAAAAAAACTGGCGTGTTCAGGGACAGGAAAAGTTCAGCGAGTCTTTTAATGTGTATAGGAGAAGTGAAAAGAAACAAGGCTGGGAGAGTAGTTTGCCGCCAGACTATATGCTTTAGGGAAGAGGGAGGCATTCTAGGTTGTCTTGTTTTCCTTACCAGCTTGTTGATACTCATGGGACTCAATTATCTCAATTTAGACCTCTACGTGGGCACAATAGTGAGTAGGACGCCTGGAAAAACAGACACTAATGTCCCAGGCTGCACTTGACTTCACTCGTGCCTGCAGAAGAAATCCAGAAATGAGGATGAGCATAAGGATGATTCGGGGGAAATAGGAAGGAAGTATTCATGGCTTTGCTCCCTCCTCCCTTATCAAATATCTCAATCCCAGGATCCTAACGGCAGACCTTTTAGGACATCGGCATTTCCCGGTGAGCAATCCCCCCTCGCCCTCCTCAAATACAAACCGCGAAGTCTACCACAAACGCGTTGGCTTTAAAACTCATCCCTCAACTTTGGATCCACCCAGCCAGTTAAGGATATCACGACTCACCACTGATTCTTCTTGCACCCTTCTGGGAGCCGCGCTTAGAGTAATTCGCGCCCAAACATTCGTAAAAGAGGAGACCCGGAAGTGGGCGGGAAGAAAGCGGAAACGGGCATCTAACCCTACCCCTAAACGTCATCAGGAACGCGCCCGTGAGAGCGCGATTAGATTGGCTGGAGGGAAGGCGGTGTCGGCCTACGCCCCCAGAGTCATCCGGCTGTCGCTGGCGGTTGCGCGGTTTGTGTGGGCTAGGTGAGGGCGGGGAGGCCTGGCTGTCTAGATCTCTGACAGGTGAGGCGGGGGACGCAGAAGTCCAGCCGCCCTCTCATGCAGCGGAGTCCGAAACAGGCCTACCAGTGAGTAGGAGGTACACCTTTCAGATCTCTCCATTCTTCTGGCTCCTGTCCTTCCTCTACCCCTTTATTTTGAACTTTTGTCCTTTCTCTCCCCGTCTGTCCTTTACTTCTGTCTTCTTACCTTCCTACTGTGACGGGATCCCACTCTCTGCCTTCTCCTTAGGTTTAGATTTTCACTTCGACCAATCTCTCTTTTTGGGCGAGGTCCTTGGCAATTCGGAGGTACTTCTGGAAAGAAGGTGCTTTTAATACTTTAGGGGCCATGTCGTTATCTTCTCTGGCCACCTAAGCACCCTGACTGTTCCCGTTGGCGGAGGTCAGTTTTTGTATGGTTCCAAAGGGATGAGCTTGCTCCATGGCTGCCTCCCTTCTAGGTTGTGGGTTATGTCATTGTCAGGGTTTTTCTAAGAGTTTTCGGGACTAAAAGTGATTTTCTGTGTGTAAACAGGATTAAGAGTGTAAACAGGGTTAAGAGTGAGAGGTAGAATAGAAAAGACAGGTCTAAAGTGACATAAAAGCTTAAATTACTAACTCGTTCTCAGTTTTGTCTAGAAAGAAGGTGGTTTTAGGGAAGCTTGAAGCCCTGGATAACGTACGTGTGTAAAGTTTTAAACCACTTGATGATTTTCTCCCAATATAATTTTGTGTTTAATGATGTACTTATGCTAATATCAAATATAATTTTCATGTCCTATGTTTCCATCTCCAAACCCAACTGGTTGAACATCAGAATATCTTCTTGAACTATTAATGTACAATCACACGTCAGCAGCTAAAGCTTGAAGTTACTGGTTCAGAATTTTTTTCTCACTGATTTGTTTTTGAGGTGTGGGGGTGGGATTAATCATTCCTCTTTAACTCATGTTAGTTGTCAGTAACATATTTGCTTTGCATGTTGCTTCTTTGAATGCTTGAGGCCTCTCTTGATGGTCTTCTGAGAAAATTCAGAGGTCGTATTGCCTTCCGCAGTAGTTGTGTTTTTATCTAAAAGTGGTATCTGTTTCCAGCGTCCACCAATTCACATGTGATTTTCAAGCAAGATCCTCCACCAGCAAAAAGATTAGGACTTGCTGAAGGCTGAGATGATTGTTAGCATTTTTTAGCAATAAAATATTTTAAAATTAAAGTATGTACAGTATTTTTTTACACATAATGCTATTGCACACTTAATAGGTTACAATACAGTGTAAATACAACTGTTATATACACTGTGAAACCAAAAAATTTGTGTGACAGGCTTTATTAACTTTATTGTGGTGGTCTGGAACCGACCCTGCAATATCTTGGAGGTTATTGTCCCTTATACGGGGCTCTTTCCTATTAGTTGTTCAGATTTGGGAAAGTCCACGTGAAATGAGTGTGATATTTCCTGCCAACAGTTTAGACTCAGGTGGGTTTCAAATTACCTTTTATAGGATTACTATTGAAACGGTTTAGTTGTAGCTTCATTATTTTTCTCACCCACCTTTTAAGCTAGTAAATAAAGTGGATGGCTTGCAAAAAGATGGATGACAAGGACCCCATAGATTTAAAGAATACAAATTGTGCTAGTATTAAAAAATTGAAGGGTTTTTTGTTTGTTTGTTTCTTTTTTCTTTTTTTTTTTCTTCTTCTTTTTTTTTTGAGACAGGGTCTCTCTGTTGCCCAGGTTGGAGTGCAGTGGCACGATCTGTGCTCATTGCAACCTTTGCTTCCCGGGTTCAAGTGATTCTCATGCCTCAGCCTCCTGAGTAGCTGGGAATTACAGGCGTGTGCCACCACGCCTGGCTAATTTTTGTATTTTTAGTAGAGACTGCATTTCACCATGTTGGCCAGGCTGGTCTTGAACCCCTGACTTCAAGTGATCCACCCGCCTCGGCCTCCTGGAGTGCTGGGATTACAGGCGTGAGCCACCATGCCCGGCCTCTTTTTTGTTGTTTCCATTTAGACTTTATTCTATGTACTTTTTACATAGTTGAACCTATTGCATTTAAAATTATGTGTCTTGAGTCTTTTACTTACTACTTTTTGAGTTTCTCTGTTTTTGGGAAAATACGCATAACACATTTTTAACTTTGTACTTATACATGTATTTACAGAAACTGCATAAAACATAACTGTATAATTTGATGAATTTCCACAAACAGAATATATCTATGTAAGTGGCAATCAGATCAAGAGCATTACTCCCAAAAGCCCCTCTCTTGCTCCTGTTGTATTCTAGCAACCATAAGTAATCATTCTTCTGACTTCCGACATCAAAGATTAGTTTTGCTAGCTTTCTAAACATATTTTAATAGCTACATGAAATGCTATCATTTTTATATGCTGTAATTCACTTATTCACATGTTATTAGACACAATTTTCCTAAATTTTCTCTATTACAAATAAAACTATAGGGAACATCTATGTATTATTACAGAAGCTTTCCCAGGAGTAATGTTCCTCAGTGGAACGGCATAAACATTTCTGAAACATTTCATATATATTGACAATTTACTTTCCAAAGTAGTTAAAATAGTTCATACTCTCACCAGTGGTTTATGGCTCTTGTTTAACGACCCCGTAATAAGTGTTGAGTATTTATTTCATTTAAACTTTACTAAACTGATAGGTAAGAAATGGTATGGAAAATAAAATTTGAAACTCCCTTTATTTGTTGCCGTATGCAGTATAATACACATAGTATAGTGAATATATTAATGTTTGTATCTCAGTATCTTTTTAAATAATAGGCTCTATATGTTTAGGCTGTATGACTCTTGACAAGTTTTAGTAATTCAGGTGAACAGTTTACTGCTTTGTGAGGTGGGATTTTGATCAGGCGACTTTATTTCTCTAAGCCTCAGTTTCTACATCTAGAAAATGATGACACTGAACCCAGCAACCTAGTATAAAAATCTTTGCTAGTTATCAGGAATGTACAGCTCTAATGTTGGAGCAGTTTATAAATTAGCACAGAAATAGATTACTGAAGAGGCCATTTGGCTCACCTTATGGGTTCTGGGATGAGTTGTGAGCGTATTAGTTAAATGCAAGGACTTTGAAACCAGCTGCATAGGTTCCAGTCAATGCTGGCTCTTCTGTGCCTCGGTTTCTTAATCTGTAAAATGGGGCTAATAATAGTACCTACCTATTAAGGGTATTGCAGAGATTAAAATTGCTACTCTCTGTGATGTCATTATAGACTTCTGTGTTACTAGCCCATAGAAACGCTGCAAGTTGGAGATAATGCCTTAGCTGAATTAGCAAGAGAATAATATTTTAGGCAGAAGGAAGAGCAAGAGCAAATTCACAAAACTTTGACATATGCGCAGCCAACTGTAGGTAATCCAGTATTTCTAGTGCACAAAATGCATAAAGAGGACAAAGACAGAGGTGGGTCTGAGGGGGAAACAGAGACTGGTTCATGAAGGCCTTGAATACCTGTTTGTCTTATTCACCACTTTTTTCCTCCTTTACCCAACATAATGTCAGTCATAAACTGATATTTAATAAAAGCATTTTGATGTCAATTAGGAGGCTGTAGTATATCTTCCACATGATACAGAGTCTTTGAAAAATTTCATGGGGAGTGTGACGTAGTCATATTTACAATGATGTCATTGTATGGAAGGGATTCATATAGAATGGAATAGAAGGGGGCTAAGACTGGTCAGTAAGACCAGCTAAGAGGCTACTGAGGAAAAAGAGTGGAACTAGAAGACTGATAGTAATTGTGGAGAAGAGGGGCCAAAGTTATAAAATATCAGGTGCAGGAAGCAGAAAAGGGGAAGAAATGAAATCAGACTAATACATCTTCTTTCTTTTTTATTCCTTTCTAATCAGTAGCTCCTATTTCCCACCCCTTGTTCTAAATGTTTATACACTATGTTTCTTTTTCTAGGTCAGTTCTTATTTCTCTTGGGTGTTTCCATGCTCCACCATGTTAAGAGCTAAGAATCAGCTTTTTTTACTTTCACCTCATTACCTGAAGCAGGTAAAAGAATCATCAGGCTCCAGGCTCATACGGCAACGATTTCTACACCAGCAACAGCCCCTTCACCCAGAATGGGCTGCCCTGGCTAAAAAGCAGCTGAAAGGCAAAAACCCAGAAGACCTAATATGGCACACCCCGGAAGGAATCTCTATAAAACCCTTGTATTCCAAGAGAGATACTACGGACTTACCTGAAGAACTTCCAGGAGTGAAGCCATTCACACGTGGACCATATCCTACCATGTATACCTTTAGGCCCTGGACCATCCGCCAGTATGCTGGTTTTAGTACTGTGGAAGAGAGCAATAAGTTCTATAAGGACAATATTAAGGGTGAGATTTTAATATAAGACATAGTATTTGTGATAAGACATATACCTCCTATATTTTTATTTTTTTGAGGTTAATCTCTGTAAAGATGATATTCACTCCATAATTTTGTAGTTAAAGACTACACTCTGAAAAAAGTAGATTTTTTTAAACTTCTGTGGTCAAAAAGATAAATGAGTTAGAATAAGGTGCTAAATTTTTGAAAGAAAACAACACTTACATGCACATTATTTAAAAGAAATTAGGTGAGGTGAAATTGCATGAAGAAAAGAAGACATTAGCTTTGCCTTTGAAAAATGTTTAACATTGTTGGGATAGGTATTGGAGAGGAAGATAGTTAAATGATGCCCAAAGAAAGTGTAAATGTGATAACGTGGTACAAACATTCAGTGCAATCTGGCATTCATTCACTGAAAATTATCTTAATTATTATTAATTCTTTCTGAGCTGTAATAAAATCATAGTGTTTGAATACTAAACTGGTAGATTTATAAGATTGTACTGCCCATGGAAGGTTGAACTTATATTTAGTATAGATTATTTTAGTTATTTAAAAATTTTGTACGATTGTCATAATTCTGTTTTCCAGAATATTTTGAATAGCCAAGAATCCTCTTGTGGCAGTATTAGATAAAAGAACAAAAAAGTAAGCAAGCATACAAATGTTAAGTTATTTTTACCATATATGAACAGCCAGATCTTTTCATGAATTTTAGAAATATTTCAGTCAAGTACCATATCTTCAGATAGACATGAGATGATTGAGATTTGTTGTTTCTTCCATTCTTTCCTTTAGTGAGGTCCGGAACTAAATTTGTGCATTTTGGCACAAGGGAAACAACTGACTCTCTTAAGAAGTGAAGTATCTTTATTTAAATTGGTTTTGACATGTATGAGCATAAAAATAGTTGTTATAAAAGTATACTGTTATGAGATGAATCAACATTTTTAGTGGTGTTAAAGTAAATCATTTACCTTGATTCCAGACTCTTGAATCTTACATTATTTTTCTATATGTATTTAGCTGGTCAGCAGGGATTATCAGTTGCCTTTGATCTGTTAAAGTAAATCATTTACCTTGATTCCAGACTCTTGAATCTTACATTATTTTTCTATATGTATTTAGCTGGTCAGCAGGGATTATCAGTTGCCTTTGATCTGGCGACACATCGTGGCTATGATTCAGACAACCCTCGAGTTCGTGGTGATGTTGGAATGGCTGGAGTTGCTATTGACACTGTGGAAGATACCAAAATTCTTTTTGATGGAATTCCTTTAGAAAAAATGTCAGTTTCCATGACTATGAATGGAGCAGTTATTCCAGTTCTTGCAAATTTTATAGTAACTGGAGAAGAACAAGGTGTACCTAAAGAGAAACTTACTGGTACCATCCAAAATGATATTCTAAAGGAATTTATGGTTCGAAACACATACATTTTTCCTCCAGAACCATCCATGAAAATTATTGCTGACATCTTTCAATATACGTCAAAGGTATACTTTGTGGTTATTATAGGTTTTTCTATAGTTCCTTGAATGTAGGAATTTTTACACCATGCTAAAACCTAATTTTAAAACTGAGTATTATAAATTTGGAATGTTTTATTATTGTTACTTTTTGTTTTTAATGTACTAATTTTATGTTCTGTCATTACTTGTAGGAATCTGGGCAATAGATCCTTACTGTGTTTTCTTTATTCCTAAAATTTAACTATGATAATTGTTAGATTCAGGGAGGTCTTCTACTTACATTTTTAAATTTTCCTCCGAAATTCAGATGCAGTTGTGAAGTAGACACTGGTATCAGACAAATGGGGATTGGAATATGAGCTTTATTTCTGCTAAAAGCTGAATTGGAAGATATCACTTATCACTCATATCTGCAATCTCAAGGAGGTCCCTAATATTCACCCCTGAATTAGACTCATCTTTCCCAATGAGAATGATGGGAAAAGTCCCTCCATAGGGACACATTTTCCTCCTTCATTTTCCTGTGAACAATTTGTTTATATTTCCACCCATTATTCACACTTTGCTTCTTACTAGCAATGCGCTCCTTCTCTTTACCTATGTTAAAGTCAGACCATTATTTCATGGCACAGGGAAAATCGTCATCAACCCTTTTTATCTCTATCAATCCTTGTAATTACTATTATCTCCAAACTCTAGCAAGCATTGCCTAGCAAGCATTTTATGTATGGTTAACTCTTGGTAAAGATAGTTTTTCTTGACTCTGCAGGATATGTGTGATATACTCTACCTAACGTGAAATTTTAGAGGAATGGTGGAAATACAGTTTTTGTAGTGATTGTGGTGGAAAGAACCTGTCTGGGATATGCTTAGTATTAAATGTCACAGTAAATCAAACTGGAATCTTTGATTTTTAAAGCCATGCATTTTATCCCATTTTGTTTCAACATATAGTACTAAGAATTAAATCATTTTCTTTTTTTTTCCTGCCATGTACTTATTCATGTTTGATGCCTTCATTCAAATTAGAAAATTAATAACTAGTAAATAATAATAAATTTATACATCTTCAGCAAATTAACCCAAAGTTTGGGTCTACAACCTCTTATGAGGTCCAAGTCATTGGTTTGGAATTAAAAATGCCTCATTTAGTTCTCAGACCAAAGGTTACATTCCTAACCTCAGCTAGCTAATTCCACAATTTAAACTTTTAGAAGAATGGTTAGTACAAATTCTTGTCCACCAGAAAAATAAAGTAGGTAGAGTCCTGATGATGGTTCATGGACGAACCATTTCAATTGGAAAGCAAATTAAATGTAACAAATAAGTATTAAATATTTTGTTAACATTATAAACTACCAAGTATATTTGAGTTTAACGTAATTTTAAAATAATATTTACGCTTAGAAAGTGGATTTAATAGAACCTTTTAATATTTTACTTATTCATTGTTACAATTTTTTTTTTTTTATGTAGCACATGCCAAAATTTAATTCAATTTCAATTAGTGGATACCATATGCAGGAAGCAGGGGCTGATGCCATTCTGGAGCTGGCCTATACTTTAGCAGATGGATTGGAGTACTCTAGAACTGGACTCCAGGCTGGCCTGACAATTGATGAATTTGCACCAAGGTGAGTAAATTAAACCTAGATATTGTTTCAACATTAAGAAATGCATAGGACCATTTTATATATTGATAAAATGGATTTATAAATATAAATATCAGGCTAGATTTAGATTTTCTTATATTTGAGTGATAATGAGAGAAAAAGCCAATATTTCTAATAAAAAATAGAATTAAATTTGGCTGTACTTCTTTGTAAATTCCAGGAATATCTTGTTTCCAACTATTTAGAGAACACAAGTTTCACGTTTTAACAAACTATATTAAAATGTAGACATCATGTTTAGGCAGTTTTATTTTTCTAATTTTTCCATTTTAGAATACGGAATTAATCTATTATTTATTTTTTATTTTCCTGTTGCACTATCTAATGTAATGTTTTGGGATCCACTGTGCTGTTGAAACATTTGTTTCACAACAGTTTCTTAATAATGTTGTATGACAAATATGGGAAAACTTAAATGAAGTTTATGAAATATTTAAATTTGGAAGTCGAAAGTCATTCAGTGGTTCAGTCAGTACAGCAATCACTTGCTAAGCTTTGCTGTGCCAAACACTAGCCTATATGCTGACAATACAACATGTAGAAAACATAGCTTCTGCCTTCAGTGTTTATAGACTACTGAAATGCTCCTTTATACCAGGGATTTGTGTACTTATTGTGACAGCAGTTCCCAAAGTGTGGTCTAAGAACAGTTGGGCATTGCTAAGACTCTTTCTGGGGTATTTGAGATAAAAATGGTTTTTATGCTTATATTAGAGCTTTATTTGCCTTTTTCACTTTCATTTTCTCAAGAATTTATAGTGGTGTTTTTCAGAAGCTACACGATAAGTGATATTGCAACAGATTGCAGAAACAGATATGAGACCCCAGCTGTCTTCTCTTAAGCCATACATTGAAGAGATTTGCAAAAATGTAAAACAATGATGCTTTTATTATACATATATTTTAAGAAGCATACTTATTTTTCATAAGAAATGTTACTAATGTTAACATGTTGTGGGTTTATTTTGATTTGATTTGATGATTATTGAGATAGGATCTTGCTCTGTTGCACATGCTGGAGTGCAATGGCATGATCACTGCTCATTGCAGCCTCAGCTTGCCAGGCTCAAGCGTTCCTCCCGCCTCAGGCTCCCAAGTAGCTGTGACTACAGGTGTGTGCCACCATACCTGGCTAATTTTTAAATTTTCTTGTAGAGATGGGGTTTCCCTGTGTTGCCCAGCTGGTCTCAAACTCCTGGGCTCAAGTTATCCTCCTGCCTTGTCCTCCTAAAGTGCTGGGATTCTAGGCAGTAGCCACTGTGCCCTTCCTTATTGTTACTTTTAAGTGAACTAGTAAAAAAAATATTGATAAATATTATACAAATAAAGAAATAAATTCTTTGGAATCTTCAGTAAGTTGTTTTTTTTTTTTTGTTTTGTTCTTTTTTTGAGACAGAGGCTCGCTCTGTCGCCCAGGCTGGAGTGCAGTGGTGCGATCTCCACTCATTGCAAGCTCCGCCTCCCAGGTTCACACCATTCTCCTGCCTCAGCCTCCCCTGTAGCTGGGACTACAGGCGCCTGCCACCGCGCCCGGCTAATTTTTGTAATTTTTTTAGTAGAGACAGGGTTTCACACCATGTTAGCCAGGCTGGTCTCGATCTCCTGACCTCGTGATCCACCCGTCTCGGCCTCCCAAAGTGCTGGGATTACAGGCGTGAGCCACCGCGCCCAGCTGGAATCTTCAGTAAGTTTTAAGAGTAAAAAGGGAACCTGAGATAAAAATATTTGAAAATTGCTGTGTTAAGAACTTCTTTGGATTAGAGACTTAAATGTTAGACCTAATATCATAAAAATCCTAGAGGAAAACCTAGGTAGTACCATTCAGGACATAGGCATGGGCAAAGACTTCATGTCTAAAACACCAAAAGCAACAGCAGCAAAAGCCAAAATTGACAAATGGGATCTAATTAAACTAAAGAGCTTCTGCACAGCAAAAGAAACTACCATCAAAGTGAACAGGCAACCTACAGAATGGGAGAAAATTTTTGCAATCTACACATCTGACAAAGGGCTAATATCCAGAACCTACAAAGAATTCAAACAAATTTACAAGAAAAAAACAAACAACCCCATCAAAAAGTGGGCAAAGGATATGAACAGACATTTCTCAAAAGAAGACATTCATACAGCCAACAGACACATGAAAAAATGCTCATCATCACTGGCCATCAGAGAAATGCAAATCAAAACCACAATGAGATACCATCTCACACCAGTTAGAATGGCATCATTAAAAAGTCAGGAAACAACAGGTGCTGGAGAGGATGTGGAGAAATAGGAACGCTTTTACACTGTTGGTGGGATTGTAAACTAGTTCAACCAATATGGAAAACAGTATGGCGATTCCTCAAGGATCTAGAACTAGATGTACCATATGACCCAGCCATCCCATTACTGGGTATATACCCAAAGGATTATAAATTATGCTGCTATAAAGACACATGCACACGTATGTTTATTGCAGCACTATTCACAATAGCAAAGACTTGGAATCAACCCAAATGTCCATCAGTGACAGATTGGATTAAGAAAATGTGGCACATATACACCATGGAATACTATGCAGCCATAAAAAAGGATGAGTTTGTGTCCTTTGTAGGGACATGGTGCAGCTGGAAACCATCATTCTTAGCAAACTATCACAAGAACAGAAAACCAAACACCGCATGTTCTCACTCATAGGTGGGAACTGAACAATGAGATCACTTGGACTCAGGAAGGGGAACATCACACACCGGGGCCTATCATGGGGAGGGGGGAGGGGGGGGGAGGGATTGCATGGGAGTTATACCTGATGTAAATGACGAGTTGATGGGTGCAGCACACCAACATGGCACAAGTATACATATGTAACAAACCTGCACGTTATGCACATGTACCCTACAACTTAAAGTACAATAATAATAAATAAATTTAAAAAAAAAAAAAAAAAAAAAAAGAACTTTCAAGGCTGGGTGTGGTGGCTCATGCCTGCAATCCCAGTGCTTCGGATGACCGAGGTGGTCAGATCACATGAAGCCAGGAATTCAAGACCAGTCTAGCCAACATGGCAAAACCTGGTCTCTATTAAAAATACAAAAGTTAGCTGGGCATGGTGGTGCTTGTCTGTAATTCCAGCTACTTGGGAGGGTGAGGCACAAGAATCGCTTGAACCTGGGAAGTGGAGGTTGCAGTGACCTGACAGTGCTTCATTGCACTCCAGCCAGGGCAATAGAACAAGACTCTGTCTCAAAAAATCAACTTCTTCCAAAAATGTATCAGGAGTGGATTTGCCAGCTTTGTGCCTTTAGAGACAGGCAAGTAACCTAAATGTTTAAATCAGCACAGAATATGAGATAAAAGGGAGAGGTGAAGGAGAAGTATATGCCTAGACCAAATGCACAATCATTCTTTTACAAAACACTTTCTGACTATTTAAACAAAGCAGATTTGCTGTTTTATTTCATTCATAAGTGACTCCTATCTTACATATTGAGTATTCCTAAAATATATTTTTTTTAAAGAAATTGAATCTTTCTTTAATGAAGGACACAAGAAGAGATTCTTTCATAAAGAAAACCAATTACAAAGTGAATAATTCTTACCTGAAACAAAATTTCTTCCATATGCATAAAACTGTGATTTTATGTTAGGTTTAAAGTTACATAAATATACATGTACTGATCTTAATTCAAATTAAGTTGTTTGAAATTAAAATATAGACCTTGATTTTCTAGTGTGTGATGCAATTAGTTTTTTTTTCTGTTCTATATTGTTAAGTTTAATTAAATTCTGGACCTAGCATTACTATTTTAGGTTGTCTTTCTTCTGGGGAATTGGAATGAATTTCTATATGGAAATAGCAAAGATGAGAGCTGGTAGAAGACTCTGGGCTCACTTAATAGAGAAAATGTTTCAGCCTAAAAGTTCAAAATCTCTTCTTCTAAGAGCACATTGTCAGACATCGGGATGGTCACTTACTGAGCAGGTGTGTATATAATTCAAAATGTAGAATTTTAATAAAGTCTTTTATATATATATTTTCTGAGCAATATGGCACAAGCAGGAAATAGATTTAAGAAGCTATCTGTTAATATTTGAAATCATAAATATTCTGAAGCATAATGTATACTTAGATTTGTAATTATACATAGTATAATAAATAAATAAATAAAAATTGTCTCCCTCTAGTGGTTAACAATATAAAATCACTTACATCCTAGCTTCCATGTAGTGCTGAAACACTTTTGTAAAAGTAAACAAGGCTGGGTGAGGTGGCTCACACTTGTAATTCCAACAATTTGGGAGGCCGAGGCAGGTGGATCATCTGAGGTCAGGGGTTCGAAACCAGCCTGGCCAACATGGCAAAACCCCGCCTCTACTAAACATACAAAACTAGCTGGGCATGGTGGTGCATGCCTATAATCCCAGCTACTTGGGAAGCTGAGGCAGGAGAATCACTTGAACCTGGGAGGTGGAGATTGCAGTGAGCCGAGATCACACCACTGCACTCCAGCCTGGGCAACAAGAGCAAAACTACGTGTCACACACACACAAAAAAAGTAAATGGAATTTAATGATGAGGAAGAAGCAAAAGTCATAAGTTAATACTCCCATATATTTGTAAGAGTTATAATTCTTAACATAAAACTGCCTATTTAAAATTGATTGTATATACATACATATTTTTATATGTTAAAGTTATATGTTTAAACAAGCATGCAAGCAAACAGACTGTTTAAAGACTATTTTTACTTGGGTAATTTTATTTGTTCTCTTAAAAATTGTATAGTTATGGCCTTGTTTTTATACATGTTCTCTTTACATATGAAATTATTTTGGTACATTTAAAAATAATTTATATGTGCAAAGTTACATTGCTTTTATACATTTAAATGTTGAGTAATAACTATTGTGCTCCATATGAAATATAACTTCAGGTTCTTATAAATGGAAAAATAGACTGGGCGCAATGGCTCACGCCTGTAATCCCAGCACTTTGGGAGGCCGAGACGGGCGGATCACGAGGTCAGGAGATCAAGACCATCCTGGCTAACATGGTGAAACCCCGTCTCTACTAAAAATACAAAAAAATTAGCCGGGTATGGTGGCGGGCGCCTATAGTCCCAGCTACTTGGGACTGAGGCAGGAGAATGGCATGAACCTGGGAGGTGGAGCTTGCAGTGAGCCGAGATTGTGCCACTTCACTCCAGCCTGGGCGACAGAGCAAGACTCCATCTCAAAAAAAAATAAAATAAAATAAAATAAAGTAAATATAAATGAATAAATGGAGAAATAGAGACTTTTAGGTTGGAAGGAACCTTAATAATCATTTTTATTTTATCTTGCTTATTTTTTCAGCTAAGGAAACTGAAGTTCAGAGAGATCCAATGACTTGCCCAAATCACAATTAGGCATACAATAAACTAGAACTCAAATTTCAGATATCTCAGTTCATTGTTTTATCTGTTTGGTTAACATTTATTCAGTGCCTGTTTTGTACACATCATTGTGGTAGATACTGTGAGGTAGACAAAATAATTAGGGGAGAGTGAATTATGAAATGAAGGACTATATAATCTTAAGTAGAAAAAGAATGTGTTCTTGATATACTTATAGAAAAGTATTTAGGCAATATATAAGTAAGCACAACAAACGTCTGATATTTCAGAGGATTATAAGAGGTAATGTTTTAGTGCTTAAGAGAAGATTAAACACTAAACAGTGACTCTGACTCTTCTAATTCTCTTCTAATTCTGGCTTCTAAACTAATTTGTCTAAATTTATTTGCTATTCTGAAGCTTAGTATGGAAATTGACATAGAAAGTATGCAGCAGTTGCTGTTTAATCATGTGTCTGTTTATAGTTACAATATCTATCACTTGTTTCTTTGGGTTTTTGTTTTTTATCAAATATTTTAGGATCCTTACAATAATATTGTCCGTACTGCAATAGAAGCAATGGCAGCAGTATTTGGAGGGACTCAGTCTTTGCACACAAATTCTTTTGATGAAGCTTTGGGTTTGCCAACTGTGAAAAGTGCTCGAATTGCCAGGAACACACAAATTATCATTCAAGAAGAATCTGGAATTCCCAAAGTGGCTGATCCTTGGGGAGGTTCCTACATGATGGAATCTCTCACAAATGATGTTTACGATGCTGCTTTAAAGGTGAGTTTTTCCACTTTGCAACTTTGTTTTCAGAATTTGCAGATTTGTAAAGATTTATAGATGTTAAAACTTATAAGTCAAGATTTATAGATTTTAAATTTATAAATCAAATCACTTACAAATTTATATAATAATTTAAACAATGTTTGCAAAAAAAGAAATTCAGATTTAATTTTATAGTTTTCAAAACTGAATCCATTTAAAAATACATTTGTATTAAAGTATTTTATTAAAAGAATTGAAAAGATAGCTAGTAGTTAAAAGCTCATAGAAAGAACAGCAATTTTTGATCTTCCACTTTTTTTTTCCTGCTTCCTGGAGTAAGATACATACTTCTTTGCTTATTTTTGTTTTTATCTGCATAGTTTATAATCACATGTATACTGTTTCTTCTAATTTTATCAACTGTAGACATTACACATGAGACCTTAGACACTATTGCTTTCCTAGTAGAGTAGTTTAGATTTTGGCTGATTCATACCCCTACTTTGCCTCCTCCCTTAGTACTGATATAATTATATCTCAATATAATCCTTTCTGAAATCTTCTAATGTTCTCATTTGATTTAAATTGTCTTTTCTCTATTTCTGCTCACTATTGCTGTTGTTTCACTCCTCTTTGCCATTATAGTAGGAATATATTTTCATTTCTCCTCTGTTGAATTCTGAATCTTGAATCCCATGTCTATCTCTTGGTTATTTGGAAGTACATCTCATAGAAACCTGCTAAAAATGGTGCATGGGAGATAAATTATTTGAAACTTTGCCTGTTTGAGAATGTCTTTATTCTGTTTTTATACTTGATTGATAATCTGACTAAGCTTGACATTATTTCCATTCAGGAAATTCATAAGCAAGTTTGTAAGCATTGATCTGTTTTTTATTCTATATTTTTATTCTGGCTTTCAATATTTCTGATCAGAAATTTGATGCCATTCTTATTCAGGATCTTTCTTTTTCAAAGTATTGGGACCTCGTCTTTACTTTTTGTGTTGATGTATAACTTGGTGTATTTTTTCCTACATGGTACTGAACCTTTATTGGGTCTTTTTCATCTCACTTTTTAAAAAAATATATTTTTATAGCTCTAGGAAATTTTCCTGTATTATTTCTTTGACAGTTTTTTTCTTGCCATTTTCATATGGTTTCTCTTTCTAGAACTCCTAGTCATAAGCTATGGACCTCCTTAAATAATATCCTGATGTTCTTATTTTTTTTTTTTTTCTTTTTTGAGACAGAGTCTCGCTCTGTCACCAGGCTAGAGTGCAGTGGCACGATCTCAGCTTACTGCAACTTCTGACTCCCTAGTTCAAGCGTTTCTCCTGCCTCAGCCTCCCGAGTAGCTGGGATTACAGGTACACGCCACCACACCCAGCTAATTTTTGTATTTTTAATAGAGACGGGGGAGTTCACCATGTTGGTCAGGCTGGTCTCAAACTCCTGACCTTGTGATCTGCCCACCTCGGCCTCCCAAAGAGCTGGGATTACAGGCGTGAGCCACTGCTCCCTGCCTGTTCTTATCTTTTCTATAGTATATCTGTTTGCCTTTTTGTTCTGTGTTCTTAAAGATTTGTCAACTTTATGTTTCTACTTATTTTTACATTCATGTATTTTTAATTCGTAGAGCTCATTTTTGTTTTCTAATTTCCCCCTTATAATTAATGTCATCTTCATTTGTTGCATTAGTGCCGAATCCCTTTTTATTCTGAATTCATGATATTTTCTGAAGTTTTCTTTTGCGTCCTGTATTGTCTCTGCTTTCTCTCTGTGCTTTTTGTTATTAGCCTTTAGTTAGAGTACAGGCTTTTATTTTGGTAAGACATCTTACCCTTACTTCTCTCTGTATTTGGTGTTTGATAGTTCATTGCATCTTGAGTTCATTTGCTGTAGACAGTAAACGTTGGTTCTCCTGACAGAATGAGAGAGGGGTGGTTGCAGACTCTGAAATTGTCTTCTTCTTTTTTAGCTTCTCATTTTACACTTACGTAGAATCCAATTACGTAGAATCTTGAATTCATCAGGGAAAAGCGGGTTGAACTTGATCCTTTCTGCTAAGCCATATATCATTCCACTGTCTGCTTTCTGCTTTCATATAGAAGCTATGATTGAAAGTTTAAATGTTTCCTGATTTCATTAAAGATGAGGTTACATTGTTTCTCTGCAGCTCAAATAAAAAGTAAATTACATTTTAAAATATATTTTTCTTAGAGACTTTATGTAATTATGAAAACTTTAGGTACCTAAAAATAAAGATTAGAGAATTGATGTGGCTTTAATTTTCTCCCAAGACTTAAGAGGTTTTGTGTTTTTTGGAATATACTTGTTAGTTGTCTTTTCAAGTAACTATAAACACACAAATTCTAATTAATGTCTTTGGTGTTTATTTAATTATGTTCTTATGAAACATTAAAATTTAGTTTATAATTTTATTAATATTAGTAATTATGTAACACTCATAACAAATTTGTATAGTTTATACACATTTTTAATATTCTCTTTTAGTTTTGTTAATGTTTTTCTTTTTAGCTCATTAATGAAATTGAAGAAATGGGTGGAATGGCCAAAGCTGTAGCTGAGGGAATACCTAAACTTCGAATTGAAGAATGTGCTGCCCGAAGACAAGCTAGAATAGATTCTGGTAAGATAAAGTGAGAAAGTTCATATATGAAATCCAGCATTTGAAAAGAAATTCATTTCTATTTGAAGATAACATGTATGGTTACTAAAACAAAAATAATGAAAAATGGAACTTGGGTAAATTTTTTCTCATATACTTTATCTATGTTTGTATTTTCGCATACATGGATGCACACAGGCAAGCATATGTACAAAGTGTGTGTGGATGTCTACCCATTGTATATATGTACTTGTTTGTGAATAGATGTCATTAACATTTTGAAGATGGCACTGTTGATGATCAGTGTTCTCTGCATTGGAGTATTCATTCATTCAATGAATACTTTTTTAGTTTATTTTGTTTGAGGCACTTGCTATGTCTGGGCATACAACAGTGAACAGGACAGACATGACCTCTATGCACACAAATCTTACATTCTAGTAAAAGAGAGGGAAATGATCAAGCAAATAAAGAATTATAGATCATGATAAGTGCTATGAAGGAAATATGAAGGAGTATAACCAGTGGTAGGGGTTGCGGGAAGTTTTATATAAGAGTAATAATCTGGTAGTTTGAGGTAAAATATATTCTTTATCATGTAAGGAAGTATCTTTGTCATTTTGATTTACTACTTATAGAAGCGTTCTTTTTTTGTTTAAAAGTGATTGGCTGAATTCAAAAAAATATTAGAAAAGCTACTGGGTATTCATTCTCTACCTTATAAATCTTAGATGGCAACTTCTCTGATTGTTATTTTGAAGTGATAGAAGATTTATTAGAAACTGTGAGAAAGTGTGTATTAATAGTTTGGTAGAATAATGAAAGTCCTTCCTTACAGAGATTCTGACATATACCTCTACTTTCCTCCCACACCCCCTTCTCAGATTGGGATTTGCTGATCTATGTCGAAGTTTCATTAAGACTTAAGAATACTACTTAAAGATATTAAATTTATAAGAAAAATACGTCATACCCAGAGCATTACAATTAGGTAATTATTTGGGAATAAAATTTTTCTTTGGGAAATTACCAGGTTCTGAAGTCATCGTTGGAGTAAATAAGTACCAGTTGGAAAAAGAAGACGCCGTAGAAGTTCTGGCAATTGATAATACTTCAGTGCGAAACAGGCAGATTGAGAAACTTCAGAAGGTATTAATAGCTTTTTTTTTTTTTTTTTTTTTTTTTTTTTTTTTTTTAGTATTTTCTGTGTTCTGGGCACTGGCTAGGCTCTGAAATTGTTGTGCTTAAATTAATCCTTAAAACAGCATGAGGTGGGTATTAATTTCCATCATTTCAAATGTAAGGGAACTAAAGATAAGGCTTTGAGAAACTTGCTCAGGATAAATAATTAGACAACCCGGACTCAGTCTTAGTCTGTTGACACCAAAAACTTGTTTTAAACCATGATATCTACCTCTGTGAAACTTCTAAGTTGTTATTAAAAACCACACTACAATAATACCTTCCATAATTTATAGATTAAAACAAAGGCTTAGATAATTATGTAACTTACTCAAAGTTAAAAACAGAATAAAGTTTAGAGTTAGTATATGAATTCAGGGCTTCTTATTATGATTTCTTTCACCAGAATGGTAGCATCTGATACTACTGTTAAATAATTACTTGCTTTTTGATTTTTAAAATTCAACTATATTTGGTAGTGCTTTAGTAAGGTACAGTATATAATAACCTTTATTTATTTTGATTGAAACTAGAGTACTGTATTCCCTCCTTATTTTGTCACTGAGTTGATCCAAAGCATATGAAATACTAAAATAGGTAAATCAAATTCATTGTCACTGTTGTAACCTATATATTTTTGTTGTGTGAAGCTACTTTGGCCTCTTAATCTTTGGCATTTGTAATTACTGCTGTTTCCAGGGTAGGAGGCTTAAAAATTTAATGGCTTTTCTTTGTTCACTTTTCCTGAGATTGTTTAATGCATGACTTTTTTTTAGTTCAATCTATAAAAATCTAATAGTATTTATTGTATTTGGAAAACCCCTTTCTTCTCTCTTATACTTTTGGTTCTTATTAACTTTATATCTTCATAGCCTGAGGGATTTCATTTATCGTAAATAATGATAAACCTTATTTTGGGCAACAGAGAGGAATTCATTAATGACAATATAGGAATAATAGTTTTCCTATATTATATATAAATAACATTTATTGAGCACTTACTATGTACCACATACTGTACTAAATGCTTTTCTGGAATTGTTGTTTTTGTGTATTATTTTATTTAACAGGTAATTACTATTTTTATTTCCATTTACAGATGAGGGAACTAATGATTGGAGAGTCTCATTTAGTTGCTCAAGTTTATAGTATAAGTGAGAAAGCTGGGATTTGAATGCAGGCTTTTTTTTTTTTTTTTTTGAGACAGAGTCTCGCTCTGTCACCCAGGCTGGAGTGCAGTGGCCGGATCTCAGCTCACTACAAGCTCTGCCTCCCAGGTTTACGCCATTCTCCTGCCTCAGCCTCCCAAATAGCTGGGACTACAGGCGCCCGCCACCTCGCCCGGCTAGTTTTTTGTATTTTTAGTAGAGATGGGGTTTCACCGTGTTAGCCAGGCTGGTCTCGATCTCCTGACCTCGTGATCCGCCCGTCTCGGCCTCCCAAAGTGCTGGGATTACAGGCTTGAGCCACCGTGCCCGGCCTGAATGCAGGCTTTTTGACTCTAGTGCCAGTTTAGGATAAATGGATATTCTGATGTAACTTTTTCCTAGTTTTGAACCTTCTTAGGACCATGACCAAATCAAAGTTCTTCTATTATAAAAATTGACTTTCATAGCTAGAATCAGATATTTTTAGAGCAAAATATATTTCTGCTTCAATACTCTGAGCTCTCTTCAGTAATGAACTCAAGTTTATATTGTCTTATGCTTTCCTCTTACCCATGGGTTTTAACAGTATTTTACCTGTGGTGGTAATTTTTTAAAAAACGTGAACTACCTCAACAGTAATTTTGTATTAAATTATTTTTTTTAATCCTTAGTCCCAATTAATTTTAGCATGTGTTTTCACTCCCTGAATTTTAGTAATCTGTTGTTGAGATAATTATAGCAAACTACCTAATCTAAGGACGACTAGTTTTCTAGTAAACCAGAAAAGGTATACTTCTCAGGTCTTTGCTCAAATGTCACCTTATCTAAGAAGCTTACAGTGATCCAATATCTACAATGGCACCCTACTACCCTGTGCCAAATCACTTCATTATTTTCTCGATTTACTTTATTTTTCTCTTAAATTGTATGTGTTTATTGTTTCTGTCTCCAATGAAAGATAAAGGAAAATGGGCATTTTTTTTTTTTTTTTTTTTTTTTTTTGAGATGGAGTCTCTCTCTGTTGCCCAGGCTGGAGTGCAGTGGCCTGATCTTGGCTCACCACAACCTTCACCTCCCTAGTTCAAGCAATTCTCCTGCCTCAGCTTCCCAAGTAGCTGGGACTACAAGCATGAGCCATCATGCCCGGCTAATTTTTGTATTTTTAGTAGAGACGGGGTTTTAACTATGTTGGCTGGGCTGGTCTCGAACTCCTGACCTCATGATCCACCCACCTCGGCCTCCCAGAGTGCTGGGATTACAGGCATGAGTCACCGCGCCCAGCCAAAAATGAGCATTTTTATAGAGAATTTGGGGTTAAGTTTTTTCTTGCCCTAAATATAGTTGGACCTCCATATCTATGGGTTCCACATCTATGGATTTAACCAATAATGAATTGAAGATATTTCAGAAAAAAAGAATGGATGCATCTGTACTCAATGTGTACAGACTTTTTTTCTTGTTATTTCCTAAACCATACAGTATAACAACTATTTATGTAGTACTTACATTGTATTAGGAATTATAAATAATCTAGAGATGATTTAAAGTATACAAGAAAATGTACATAGGTTATATGTCAATACTACATCATTTTGTATAAGGGCCTTGAACATCCCTGAATTTTGGTGTCTGTGGATAGCGTGGGCAGTGGGTCATGAAACCAATTGCCCAAAGATATTGAGGGATGACTGTATAAATTTTCTATACCACCTCTGCTTATATATACTATATAATATTCGTGGCAGCTTCAGCAGTATCATATTTTAGACTCTCTTACAGGTGGTACAATTTGTAAAAAAAAAAGGATTTATGCAACTTTATTTTGACAAATTGTTGGCAGAGCAGAGTTAGGACCCAGGGAAAACATTTTTTACTATGTTTTTCATTGTGTATCTTAGTCTCTCTCTCTTGAGATTATTTTTAAATAAAAGTACAGCAATATACATACATATTATTATTAATATATTGTTATTTATCTAAAGGAAACTTAAAATATAACTAAAATATTCTCCAAGTTCATATTTTTTTTCTCTTGTCACTACTAATCTTTAGTGTTCCTTCAAAATACTTCATATGAAAGACCTACTTGTTTTCAATGTCTTGCTACTTTAGAAAAGCCTAAGTAACATGTGCTGCTTGGGAAGGTCAGCACTATTATTGCCCTGCATGTTTCTGATTTGTTGGGGTTATACCAAATGTAATATTATTTTAGGAAATCCTGAGTAAATGAATGAATTGAATGAATAAAATTCCTAGGTTATATATTATTCTGTTCATTTTTTTCCTCTTATATTTGGAGTTAGGATTATGGAAAAAAATGCCACGTGGTATGCATCAGGGTCTAATCTCTTGATCTCTGTTTTATTCTCTCTTCATGTAAATTGTCCCTTTCCTTGACTTTTTCCATAGATCAAATCCAGCAGGGATCAAGCTTTGGCTGAACGTTGTCTTGCTGCACTAACCGAATGTGCTGCTAGCGGAGATGGAAATATCCTGGCTCTTGCAGTAGATGCATCTCGTGCAAGGTAGAGATATATAAGTTGGAGGTTTCCAAAGACTAAAAGTTGGCCGGTTTAGCTTTCCAGAGTATACTTAAATGAAAGGTTGACCCTATAAACCATGCGAGCCCTGACCCTATAAACCATGCGAGCCCAAAAGAAAATAATGGCATCCATAATAAATTTAATTCTTATCATTTTAAAATCCTCTGTATTTAAAACATTCACATATTTTGAGTGAAATGTATTAATAAATGTATATTTTACTGTGGCTGAGGAATTTTGAAACTACTGAAATGAATCCATTTCACTGATTCACAGGTTGAAATGTGTTGGACTCTCAAGTATATCACTAGGTTTATGCCTATTACCTTGATATTTTACCAGTTAAAATGGCTCTGGGATGGGGAGGGGAACATTAATCGGAGAATTAATAGGAAAAACTTGTCATCCCATTGCTTTTGAATTAGTTTTAACCATGAAGCAACCAGAAGAGTAACCAACTTCCCCACACTCTCATCCCAGTCCTTCTTCCCTTGTTACTAGAACCACATGTTCTTTTAGGAGTAGAATACTTGTTAATTGTTACTAGTCTTCTATCTCCTGTTGACATTTTGGTCTACTGCATTTGATTTTCTACTGTAATATAATTGCTCTTACTAAGTTCACTAGCGAATGCTCTTTGTCTGATATTGTGGATAATTTTTAGTCCATATCTTGAATTCTCTACAGTATTTAACATTATTGACCACTTCTTCCTTCTTGAAACTTTTTGCCATTTGTAACCCTTAACATGCTCCTTTGTCTGCTAACTTTTGTCATCCTGCATTTTTAAAAGGCTAAGTAAAAAACAGAATCTAATCTCATGTTGTATCTGCTTCTGTGTTACCATAGACGTGATATTTGGCAAAGTGAAGTTTTTTGTATTTACTACCCAATAGAATTGTTGTGAAGACATTAAAGCATTAAAAATAGTTCCTGAAACAGAATATGGCACTTAATGTGTTAATTGTTATTATTTTTCTATTTGTTGTTGTTTTAAAATTATCTCATTATATATATCAATATATAAATAAATTCATTATATTAAGAACCAGAAGGGGCCTGAAATATTATCCTTCTTGTAAGCTAGCAAGTTATCCTGTTTAGTGGGGTGCTGGTTGATGATATGAGATCCCTGGATCAGAACCTAATGACAGTTTGTTACTACAGTATTAATAGCCATAACATCAGCAGGTTTGGGCTAGTTCCTTTGATGCCCAATTGATGTGAGTGATGTGAAAAGGGCTGCTAGGTGATACCTCTTGTACAGTGTATTGGGTTACTTTCAAGGAGAGGAACCCTGAGCTTAGGGATTCTGAATCTTTTGTAATGGGTAATAAGCATGGCCCCCATTGTTCTAGAGGGAGACATTATTATATTGGACAGAAAGCAAACCTACCCTTTGCTCTGGGGGTAGCTAATATTCCTGTCTTCTAAGGCAATTCACTATACAGACATCTTTGAAAACATAGTCCAGAATAAAGAGCCATCAGTGCTTTGCTCCACAGGATATGAAGAAATGCAAGTGACCCACAGAAAATTTTTCTCCCAATATATGGCAACATCATTAAATAGATTACTTTTGCTTTTAAGTGTTTATTTCTTAATATAATGAACTTTTAAAAAAATATGTTGCTTTAACTGGTTAAGGTATAGTATAAATAGTATGTGTTGTTTTTTTCTACTACTGATTTCATAAAAGAAATTAGATGACTTTTTTTATTATTATACTTTAAGTTCCAGGGTACATGTGCACAACGTGCAGGTTTGTTACATATGTATACATGTGCCATGTTGGTGTGCTGCACCCATTAACTCATCATTTACATTAGATGACTTTTATTAAAGGCCTTTGACGGTTGCCCATTCCTTTTAGATTAAAACCTAATCTTTCGATAGTCTGCAAGATATGCTAGATGTGACTCTTGCCCATTTCTCTGACCTCATCTTATACCACTTTCCTCAATATGCTGTGTTCCTAATGCCCTTCTTTCTATTTTTAGAACATAAAACATATTTTCCTACATCTCAGAGCCTTTGCTTTTAGTGCTTCCTTTTTCAAACACTCTTACTCTTTTATGTTCCCTTGGGATCCCCTTTTTTATAATTTATATCTTAGTTCAAAAGTCATATCTTCACATCTTCAATAACTTTAAAATAGTTCTTCCAGACACCCCATTCCATCTTTGCCTGGTTTAGTGTCTTTATAGTACTTATTACCTTATGAAATTATCTTACTAATTTATTAATTTAGTTGTTTATCATGTGCATCCTCTGACTAGATGTTACAGATGTTAATGTCTATAAGAACAAGCACTTTTTCTTTGGTCTTGTTTATTACTGTATTGCTCTAGTAGATATAGAGATATAGTAATATCTGGCACATATTAGGCACACAGCTAATGTTGGATGAATTAGTGAACAAATGGATGGAATATGCTAAAAGATTTACTTCTTATCAAAAAATATTTATGGGAGTGTTTCTCTTTATCCATTTGTGTTTAGTGGTGAATTATTCAGCAACCTTCAGGTACTTGTCTATATATATAATTTTTAGGTCATTCAGTCATTTCTTGATTGACAAATGTTGAAAAGATAATTGGATGCATAAAGGCATCCAGAATAAATTTTTCACAAGTATTTTCAGAAGAGACGCTTTCATAATACATTAAAAACATTCTTATTTTACATTTTTACAGTCTATTGTTAATAAACAATCTTAGGTAATAAAATATGTTTAATTATATTGAATATTATGGTAAGTAGATATCTTTATCACGAAATAATGAAGTTAATGGAACCACCATTTCATGTTTCAGATGTACAGTGGGAGAAATCACAGATGCTCTGAAAAAGGTATTTGGTGAACATAAAGCGAATGATCGAATGGTGAGTGGAGCATATCGCCAGGAATTTGGAGAAAGTAAAGAGATAACATCTGCTATCAAGAGGTAATATGTAAGGTTTCTTAGGCCAGAATTTCATCTTTTCTGTTAATAGAATCCCCTTGAATCTACTGGGAGCTTAATTTCCTTACATACAACTGAGAAAATTTTTGAATTTTAAAATAATAAATAGCAAATTAAATGTTAATTATATTATCTGTATTATATAGACTATATAACATAATTAATAGAGTATATAATTTATTCATTACATATAATATATAATTAGAAATATACATGATATATATTATATCTGTACTATCATTATTTTAATATGTATATGATAATGTTTATTTTATTTTATTTTTTATTTTTTTATTTTTTTAATTATTATTATACTTTAAGTTCTAGGGTGCATGTGCACACCGTGCAGGTTTGTAACATATGTATACAAGTGCCATGTTGGTGTGCTGCACCCATTTACATTAGGTATATCTCCTAATGCTATTCTTCCCCCCTCCCTCCTTCCCCCTCCCCACAACAGGCCCCGGTGTGTGATGTTCCCCTTCCTGTGTCCAAGTAATCTCATTGTTCAATTCCCACCTATGAGAACATGCGGTGTTTGGTTTTCTGTTCTTGTGTCCATGTCCCTACAAAGGACACGAACTCATCCTTTTTTATAGCTGCATAGTATTCCATGGTGTATATATGCCACATTTTCTTAATCCAGTCTGTCACTGATGGACATTTGGGTTGATTCCAAGTCTTTGCTATTGTGAATAGTGCTGCAATAAACATACGTGTGCATGTGTCTTTATAGCAGCATGATTTATAATCCTTTGTGTATATACCCAGTAATGGGATGGCTGGGTCAAATGGTATTTCTAGTTCTAGGTCCTTGAGGAATCGCCACACTGTTTTCCACAATGGTTGAACTAGTTTACAGCCCCACCAACAGTGTAAAAGTGTTCCTATTTCTCCACATCCTCTCCAGCACCTGTTGTTTCCTGATTTTTTTAATGATCGCCATTCTAACTGGTGTGAGATGATATCTCATTGTGGTTTTGATTTGCATTTCTCTGATGGCGAGTGATGAGCATTTTTTCATGTGTCTGTTGTCTGCATGAATGTCTTCTTTTGAGAAGTGTCTGTTCATATCCTTTGCCCACTTTTTGATGGGGTTTGTTTTTATTTAATAATAAATATTAAATATTGAAACTAATAATATTAGTTTTCATATAATTAATACTATTTTGAACTTTCACTATGGTCCCCTTCAGGAGTTTCTCATGTCAAACAGATGTTTAACTAACAATGATACTGCTTCATATCCTCCAGGTATTTATATTTCAATCTGCTTACTCTGGTAGAGTTTCATATTTTTTGAATTTGTTTACATTATTTATTGCTTAAATAATTATAAAATCTTGATTTTCGTAATTGAAAGTAAACGTTTAGTTGGCATCTATGCATACATTACAATCAGTATTTATTGAACTGATAATAACTTATACTTCCACAGCATGACTTGGAAATATATATTAATGTGATCATATCTCTCAAATGTAAAAACTAGCTTTTTGATGATTGGTCTTTCCAACCTCTGTAACAAGTTTCCCATTAAAAACTGAATTTCAATACTTGTACACTAGGTAAATATCAAAACAGCCAGGGTAAAAGTCATCAAAGTGGAACTTTTTTTCTTTTAACAAAGATAAGTGCTTTTTTGTGTTGGAAGTAAATTTGTCGATGGAGCAAGCAAGCATTTTGATTATTTAGCATTATAAGAAACCATATTGCTCTTAGCTTGGGAGAGTTCACACTTATGAAGGGTAGATGAGATATGGACAATTCAAAGCATCTAGTCTGTCACATATATGTATAAATGACTATGAAGTCACTTTTTCGCTTATATTTAAATCTTTCTGCATGTTGTACTCTGTACACTGGCTCATGAAGGTGGGAGGTTGTCATTTTTTGTCTTACTTCACCATGATGTTCTCAGCGCTATGTGCTTACAGTCTGTGCCATCTTTCAGATTTTCCTCTAAGGGGGAGATGGCTTTAATGGAGCTTTCAATGTAAATAGATACATTAACAAAATATGGATGGGAGCAGGGAGAGCATCAGGAAGAATAGCTAGTGGATGCTGACCTTAATACCTAGGTGATGGGGTGATCTATGCAGCTGTTCTCCATGGCACATGTTTAACTGTGTAACAAACCTGCACATGTACCCCTGAATGTAAAATAAAAATTGGAAATCAAACAAATAGAACAACAACAAAAAAATACCCAAAATATAAGTAAACAAATTAAGTATTTTTAAATAAACTTGAAAGATTTGCTGTAAATAAATTAGTTTTTATATCTCACCTTTGGAAAATTAATATCTAACTACTGATATATTTTTAAATGTTTTTTAGGGTTCATAAATTCATGGAACGTGAAGGTCGCAGACCTCGTCTTCTTGTAGCAAAAATGGGACAAGATGGCCATGACAGAGGAGCAAAAGTTATAGCTACAGGATTTGCTGATCTTGGTTTTGATGTGGACATAGGCCCTCTTTTCCAGGTACTAAAAACTGTTGGGGGGAATTTCAAAAGTATGTACTAGTCACTTACATTTAGAAATAGTAGTAAAATGATGACAGACCAAGACATTGAGCAAATTAACACACCTCCTGGTAACTGGTATGCAGCCACTGACTTGGCAAATGCCTTTCTCTCCATTCCTGCCTATACGGCCCACCAGAAGCAATTTGCCTTCAGCTGGCAAGGCCAGCAATATACCTTTACTGTCCTACTGCAGGGGTTTATTAACTCTCCGGCTTTGTCATAATCTTATTCAGAGAGATCTTGATCACTTTTCACCTCTGCAAGATACCACACTGGTCCATTAATTGATGACATTATGCTGATTAAATCCAGTGAGCAAGAAGTAGCAAACACACCAGACTTATTGGTGAGACATTTGCTTGCCAGAGGATGGGAAATAAATCTGACTAAAATTCAGGGACCTTCTACCTCAGTAAGATTTCTAGGGGTCCAGTGGTGTGGGGCCTGTTGAGATACTCCTTCTAAGGTGAAGGATGAATTGCTGAATTTGTCCCCTACTAAAACCAAGAAAGAGGAACAACGCCTAGTGAGCCTATTTGGATTTTTGGAGGCAACACATTCCTCATTTGGGTGTGTTACTCTGGCCTGTTTATCGAGCGACCCGAAAGGCTGCCACTTTTGAGTGGGGTCCAGAATAGGAGAAGGCTCTGCAACAGGTCCAGGCTGCTGTGCAAGCTGCTCTGCCACTTGGGCCATATGACCCAGCAGATCCAAGGGTGCTTCAGGTGTCAGTGGCAGATAGCAATGATGTTTGGAGCCTTTGGCAGGCCTCCATAGGTGAATCACAGCAGAGTCCTCTAGGATTTTGGAGCAAGGCCCTGCCATCTTCTGCAGATACCTACTCTCCTTTTGCGAGACAGTTCTTGGCCTGTTGCTGGGCTTTGGTGGAAACTGAACGTTTGGCTATGGGTCATCAAGTCACCATACAACCAGAACTGCCTATCATGAACTGGGTGCTTTCTGACCCATCTAACCATAAAGTGGGTCATGCACAGCAGTATTCCATCATCAAATGGAAGTAGTATATATGTGATTGGGCTTGAGCAGATCCTGAAGGCACAAGTAAATTACATGAGAAAGTGGCTCAAATATCCATGGTCTCCACTCCTGCCACCCTGCCTTCTCTCCCCCAGCCTTTATATATATATATATGTAAGGGGGAGTTTATTAAGTGTTAACTCACATGATCACAAGGTCCCACAATAGGTCTTTTGCAGGCTGAGGAGCAAGGAGAGCCAGTCCGAGTTCCCGAACTGAAGTACTTGGAAGTCTGATGTTCGAGGGCAAGAAGCATCCACCACGGGAGAAAGATGTAGGCTTGGAAGCTAGGCCAGTCTCTCTTTTCACATTTTTTTGCCAGCTTATATTCTAGCCGTGCTGGCAGCTCATTAGATGGTGGCCATCCAGATTAAGGGTGGATCTAGCCCTTTCCTAGCCCACTGACTCAAATGTTAATCTCCCTTGACATCACCCTCACAGACACACTCAGGATCAATACTTTGTATCCTTCAACCAAGTTGACACTCAGTATTAACCATAACACATATAGTCCAATTAATTATGATAGAAATAAAAATAAAATATAATTATCAGACTTTTAAAAGTGTCAATTCAGAACTAAAACTGATTATGCCTGGAACTATGAAGATTACTTTCAAAGATCTTATTGTACTCTTTATGGAGATTTGACTAATATTTTGTGGGAAAGATAGCCCACATGGGATTGGTGAAAAGTGTTTTGAAAAGGAAATCAAATAGCAATATAAGCTCAATTCATAAGTAAAGTTATTTTTGTTTATTTTTGTTTTTGTTTTTTAGCTCTCTACTAATATGTTACTTAGTCACAGAATATTAGACTTAGACAGGAAAATAATTTGCTGGAGATAAATTACACTGATATTTTCCATAAAATGATAATACAAAAAAAATTTGTCTAAAAACTACATTGTAATAATTTTATATGAAAAGCCTTATCTAATACATATTTATTAAACATCTACCAGATGCTAGGCTCTGAGTTGAGTAGGATACAATTTTGTCCTCTAGGAGGTTATAATCTCCTAACAAAGAGAGATTTACTTACTTGTAATTACATCAGAGCATGAAAATTACTGTAACTAAAATATGGACAAGGAGGGCACCTCACTTGTTACAAGAAACCCAGAAACTTATGTTTGTTGATCCTTGAAACTTTTGTTTGATTCAGAAGCACAGTGCCATTCGCTTTCTAGTAAAAATCACTCTCTGAAGTCGATGGAAAAGAGCTGCAACTAGATGCAAGGAGTCCGGTGAAGAAAAAAAATGAGAAACAGTGAGGACCTTAACTAGGGCAATGTCAGGATCTCAAGAGAAACCAAATCTCAGCTAGGATTTTGAAGAAAATTTAATGGAGGGACTACTTACAGATATATAGGCAGGATTGATAGAACCACTAAGGAATAGCGAGGCCTCCAGGAATTAAATTTTTAAGAATTTCAAAAGACACTTGTTTTTCATGGTGTGAAATTGTGTCTTATTTGTTTAAGTTCCTTATAGATTCTAGAGATTAGACCTTTTACTATTGCTTGAAATCAAAGGTAATAAGTACTAAAAACTCATCACTCCCTATACTTACTATGTTTTATTATTATCTGCTCTTTAGGTTATTTCCATCTGCTTTATCTATATGGTAGAGATACTGTGTAATTGTGTGACTATTGTGCATCTTTTCTGCTTTGCATTTAGTAATGTCATGTTAATAGGGTGAAATTGGCTGTGGTTGGAATATTCACAACATAAACTAAAAATTAGGGATTGAGTTATTGCTTTCAGAAAATTTGATGAAAAATGTAGATAATCAGAACAAAGTTCTCTGAGGGAAATAATAATATAATGATGAATATTAAATTTAAAAGTTTCTGATACCTGTAGGCATTACATTAGGAAGACCTCTCCCAATATTTGAGGAAACATTCGTTTAGTATTCAAAAAAAATTATTATTATTATTTTTAACTTTTATTTTAAGTTCAGGGGTACATGTTTAGGTTTGTTATATAGGTAAACTTGTGTCATTAAGCCTAGTACCCATTAGTTATTTTTCCTGCTCCTCTCCCTCCTCCTGCTCCTCTAACCTCTGATAGGCTCCAGTGTGTGTTGTTTCCCTCTTTGCCTTCTTTGTGTCCATGTGTCCTCATCATTTAGCTCCCACTTATAAGCAAGAACATGTGGTATTTGGTTTTTCTGTCCCTGTGTTAGTTTGCAGAGGATAATGGCTTCCAGCTTTATCCATGTTCCTGCAAAGGACACAATCTCATTCTTTTTTTCTGGCTGCATAGTATTCTTTAGTGTGTATATATCACATTTTCTTTATCCAGTCTATCATTGATGGGCATTTAGCTTGATTCCATGTCTTTGCTGTGGTGAATAGTGCTACAATGAACATACATGTGAATGTGTATTTTTTTTTTTTTTTTGAGAGTCTCACTCTTTCGTCCATGCTGGGGTGTAGTGATATGATCTTGGCTCACTGAAACCTCCACCTCCTGGGTTCAAGCAAGTCTTCTGCCTCAGTCATATGAGTAGCTGGGACTACAGGCACGTGCCACTGTACCTGGCTAATTTTTGTATTTTTAGTAGAGATAGGTTTCACCATGTTGGCCAGGCTGGTCTCAAACTCTTGACCTCAAGTGATCCACCCGCCTCTGCCTCCCAAAGTGCTGGAATTACAGGCCTGAGCCACCGTGCCCGGCTGCATGCATGTGTTTTTATAATGAAAAGATTTCTATTCGTTTGGGTATATGTACGGTAATGGGATTGCTGGGTTGGGAGGTATTTCTGTTTTTAGGTCTGTGCGGAATCACCACACTGTCATCTACAATGCTTGAACTAATTTACACTCTCATTAACAGTGTATAAACGTTCCTTTTTCTCCACAACCTTGCTAGCATCTGTTATTTTTCGACTTTTTAATAATAGCCATTCTGACTGGTATGAAATGGTGTCTCATTGGGGTTTTTATTTGCAGTTCTCTAACAATCAGTGATTTTGAGCTTTTTTTAAAATATGATTGTTGGCCATATGTATGTCTTTTTTGAAAAGTGTCTGTTCATGTCTTTTGCTCACTTTTTAATGGTTTTTTTTGTAAATTTGTTTAAATTTTTTATAGATGCAGATATTAGACCTTTGTCAGATTCACAGTTTGCAAAAATTTTCTCCCGTTCTGTAGGTTTTCTGTTTACTCTGTTGACAGTATCCTTTTTAGTGCAGATGCTTTTTAGGTTAATTAGATCTCATTTGTCAATTTTTGCTTTTGTTGTAATTGCTTTTGGCATCTTCATCATGAAGTCTTTGCCTATTAGTATGTTCTGAATGGTATTGCCTAGATAGTCTTCCAGGGTTTTTATAGTCATTATCTAGTAATAAACAATGATTTATCTTTACTTTCTGACTGTTTAGACTCCTCGTGAAGTGGCCCAGCAGGCCGTGGATGCAGATGTGCATGCTGTGGGCGTAAGCACCCTTGCTGCTGGTCATAAAACCCTAGTTCCTGAACTCATCAAAGAACTTAACTCCCTTGGACGGCCAGATATTCTTGTCATGTGTGGAGGGGTGATACCGCCTCAGGTATTTTTCATCTCTATTTTTCTAGTACTGTGATGGGAATCCTGAGTAATGATAGCTTATATGTGGTTCTAAAGATAATATGTTCCTAAATCTACAACAAATTTATTTCCTGTTGATTTCACTAAATAAATTCTAGAAGGTCTAAAAGTGGACAGTGTTGTTTTATATTCACGTTATATTGCAATTCATTATGTATAATTTAACTTAACACTTTACAAACCTTCAGTGAGAGAACTACCTCCTTACAAACCAATAACCTGTGCCAGATGTCTACCTTCATTCTCAATAAACAGTTATGGAGAAAGAAAAGGATAAAAGTAATAAAACTCTTAAGTGGAGTAGAGAACAGTGGTAGTAAATACACAGTGAATATATCAAATCCTAGCCAGACATATAGTGAGTATTCCTTGTCCTGGGGGGTGGGATGAGTCCTTTAGTTTGCTTGCTTCCATTTAGAAGGAGCTACCTTGTCCTTTTCCTCCAGGATGGTCCCATCCCTAAATGTTTTCTTACCTCAGAGCTGTATCATTTACATGGTCCTATAAAACCCTTTATTATTTAAGCTAATTTGATTAGGGTATGGTATTTCGGGAGCCAAAAATATCCTATTGCAGACATAAATAGAATCAGCTTGTCTTGAAAATTGTAGGCTGAATGGGGAGGAGGTGACTACATGAACAAAACTGTGAGTCCTCTTAGGAAAGGAGAAATAGATGTTACCTACAATGATATCAGTTAATTTATTAGTGAGGTAGGGAGACACTTTCCACATATGACATTCCTGGCCAGTTAAAATAGTTATTTAAGTTACAAATAGGTTCTATTTCCAATCCAGTTCTCAATTATATCAAGATTTTCTTTTTTATCGAGTGGAAAAAATGTCAAGTTAGAAGAACTGTATATGAGGCCACTGTAAGTAAATGACTCATAGATGCTACAAAGGCCCCATTGCTATAGCAGGAATCCATCAGTGAAGTGTGACCTTGTTTCCAGCTCTATGGCTTTTTTTTTCTCCATTAAAACTCAGAATATAGAATAGTGCATTAATATACTACTCGTGAAAGGAGAAAATTCATATGAATAAGGTTGTGAGATTCATAATAAAGTGGGGCTAGTGAACAAACTACATATTTATTTTCTTTCCAACAGCACATTATTTAATATGATATAATCAACACAAAATTCTTTTTGTTAATATACTTGCCCATTATATTCATAAAATAGGTCATTATTTGAGAAAATAAAGGGTAGTTATTCTTTATTGCAGTCTGTCTGCAGGACACTTCTATCAGTGTTGCAGTTTTAGAGTCTGTGATACCTGGGCATGATATTAAAATGTAAGGACCAAAATAATTAGCCAGTAGAAAACATTTGAATTGGAATTCATGTTGAGAAAAAAAATGTAGGCCTATTATATAAGTGAGCTGACATTTTCAAGAATTGTATTTCAAATAAGTTGTATTAATTCTCTGGATATTTAAATTACTTAGAACATCTTTAGGTGTTTTCCATGTGATTTTTCCCATGAATTTAACAACTGAGGATAAGGACCATTTTCTGTATTATACTTTTGTGTGAATATGGGTATCCCATATTATATAATTATAGCAGTTAACACCCTTATTTTCTCACTATTTGGTTGAAGTGAATATGTAAAATGTTGCTATTATTCAATTAAAGGTCACTTAGTTTTAAATTAGAAGGCACTAATATCTAGTGGCTAATCAAACAGATACAGCCTCTGCCATGTGGAGCTTACTGTTTCTGCTGTCTGATTAAATGAATAAATGTGGTCTGTCCTCACCAGTATGTTACTACAATCAGGATTTTCTAACTCTCTTAGCAGCAGTTGCCTCCAAGTTTTTTTCAGCAGCTTGAGCAGACTCATGATGCCTGCTTCCATCCTGAAGCAAGTACTATGCTATCCCTGGCCCAGCTAAGTGGAGGACATTCAAACATATATTTTTATTTGGAAATAATTTCAAACTAACAGATAAGTTGCAAAAATAAAAATAGTACAAAAAATGTCTGTATACCCTTTACCCAGATTCACTTACTGTGAACATTTTACCCTCTCACAAAGGTATGTTTTACAAGGCTTATGTAAGAAAGAGTTAGGTAAGTCATATACCCTTTTTGCAGTTGCAACATTTTGCAGTTCTCTTCCAGTTGATTCCTCCATTCTAAATCCATAACTCAGATGTCAGGACAAATGTACTTGGGATTTTTAGGAAGGAGAGAAGTATATGACCTATTAATCTGACGATCTCCAATTTAGAGATGATTATTATTACACATTTCATTCAGTTCCTTTATGAGCTCTTAAACTCTGTAGCATCTGCTCAAGAACAATGACATGTTTTGAGCACTTTTATGTGTCACATACTGGGGAAAGAGATTGGACATGATCTCGGCTCTCAGAATTTCACAGACTAGAAGGAGACAAGTTCAATGAGATGTGTTAAGTTCTATTGCAACATTATAGTATTATAAGAATACAGTTGTATAATAGAGACAGAAAAGTAGTAGGTGGGGAGTAATTAGCATGACCATATAATTTATCATCCAAATATGATCACTTGAGAGTAGAAATGGGTGCTCTTAAAAAGGGTGCTGCAACAATAAACTGTCCTGTCATATATGATCACTCATCAGACTGTCCTGTCATATATGATCACTCTACTGGATAAGGATCAGGTTCTTATAGCACATCGTAACCGCAATCGATATTGTAGCTACAAATGTTCAGATGTTAAAACAGCCTAAATCCTGCAGGGTTATTTGTGCCCTTGCTATCTTTTCACTCATACTTTGACTGTTACAATAAACTAAAAATGGTGGGTGCGGTGGCTCACGCCTGTAATCCCAGCACTTTGGGAGGCCGAGGCGGGCGGATCATGAGGTCAGGTGATCGAGACCATCCTGGCTAACGTGGTGAAACCCCGTCTCTACTAAAAATACAAAAAATTAGCCGGGTGTGGTGGTGGGTGCCTGTAGTCCCAACTACTTGGGAGGCTGAGGCAGGAGAATGGTGTGAACCCGGGAGGCGGAGCTTGCAGTGAGCCGAGATCGTGCCACTGCACTCCAGCCTGGGCGACAGAGTGAGACTCCATCTCAAAAAATAAAAAAAAATTAAAAAAATAAATAAATAAAATAAAATAAAAAACAACAGCAACAGAGAATGAAAAAAAAGGGCTTATTTTCATTTGTAGGAAATCTATCAGGTGTCCAAATTCAAAGTGCCACCATTCACTAACTGCAGACAGAATACCTAGGAGAAAATAGTTTTTTAGGCTGAAACTTATCATATGATACTAAATTTAACACAAATAATGACAAGTAGTGAAAATTTAGGTGAGAGAAAATTATGACTTAAGGCTCAGAAGTTCTCAGGATATCCAGCTTCCCACCACAAACAACACATAGAGGTATTTAGAAAATGGGTGGAGTGTTTTGTTTTTTAAATAATGTGGCCCGGAAGACTGGTGCTGAGGGCTATTAGTAGCACTCCCAATCAAGGAAGAAATTTTTAGACCCACATGCCAATAGTATACCAGTTGAGAAGGTTTTGGGTATTTGAGGGACAAAGAAGAAAGGATAGCGTTTTATTTCCTTGAAAATGGAAATAGTGTCTCTTATTAATTAAACAAATTCTTTCGACAGGATTATGAATTTCTGTTTGAAGTTGGTGTTTCCAATGTATTTGGTCCTGGGACTCGAATTCCAAAGGCTGCCGTTCAAGTGCTTGATGATATTGAGAAGTGTTTGGAAAAGAAGCAGCAATCTGTATAATTTCCTCTTTTTGTTTTAGCTTTTTTCTAAAATATTATTTTAGTTATGATCAAAGAAGAGAGTAAAGGTATGTCTTCAATTTAATTTTAATACCTGATTTGTACTTTCCTTGAAAGCTTTACTTTAAAATACCTTACTTATAAGCCTGGCGTCATGCTATACGTATGTACATACAGTTTCACTTCAAAAATTAAAAAATAAAATCTCTAAAACCTCTCTATAACAATACTTTATCAAGAACTCTAGACAAAGGTATTATTTTTAAAAATCATGGTGATGTATTTATTAGAGTGTTTCTTATAAATCTGTTTACTTTTTATATTGAGAATTAAACTATACCTAAAAAACTCTGACTAGTCCCATTTGTCAGTTTAGCATTACATGTCTTGAGCACCAGAAAATAAAATCCATATATTAATAAACACCTATCTTGAAAAACTAGTGGAGTGTATTTACATGGAGAAAGAGATTTTGGGTGGAGTCCTCAGCCAAATTCTACCAGAATCACCTTGATAAAAGAAGTATTGAAATCAAGCACAGCAGGTTGGAATATGGGGAATTTGACATCATATTTCTTCAAGTCTGATTTTACTTTCTTCCTGAGCATGACCATTTGACCTTGTTATTTCTGGGCCTTGCTCAAGACCCAGGAGAGTAGATGTTTATGAACATTCCTTTAAATGAAAGTGCCTAGGTTATAGTTATGGCTTTGTCTGGAGTGGTGATGTCAACTGTGAGTGTAGGTCTGATACAGAAAGAATTCAACTTTCCAGATCTAAAAAGATGCTACCTTGCATTGATTTGCTCATTAAACATAAATTGCAAAAATAAAAATATCACAGACAACACCTGTACTTTGCTTATTGAAAGATTTGCTCACTAAAGAAGGAAAGTTGTCATTTACCTGTGTAACAAATCTGTGCATCCTGCACATGTTCCCCAGAATGTAAAATAAAAATAAAAATTTTTTAAATAAAAAAGGAAAGTTGTCCTTTATTGTTAACATGATACATTACATGAATATAAAATAAATAATTATCTTTTGTAATAAATTTCTGTTGTGTTAGATCAGAGAGCAATCTTTTGGAAAGTATAGATATATTACTGTAGAAGTTACAAACTCATTGTAATACAATGTATTTAATTTTTAGAATAAGATCATCTGAATGGTATTGTCATGATTATTGTTCCCATTTTACAGATGAACACTCTGACTTCAAGTCCAATGATATATTCACTATGCCATTGTATTGACTTTTCCTTGTAAAGCAATGCATACCAATTTAATAAGTATTTGATTTCTGTGATGTGTTCAGTTGTCTGCTGGGTGACGTGAAATAAACTCATCTTTGAGGATTTTAGAGTTCTTGACATTCAGTATCTTTTGAGTAGACTACTTTGGAAGGAAGAATAGTAGCCACCTGCTACCAAATTTCACATCCATTGTGTGTGTGTGTGTGTGTGTGTGTGTGTGTGTGTGTGTGTGTTTGTACCTGAAGTCAGAAGTACTGGGCTCCAATAACCTTGATATTTGAAAACCTATTTCTGAAATATCCAGTGGCATAACTCACAGAAATTAAATCTGGCCTGACTCTAAGATTAAATTTTCTCATTAAATTGAGAAAATGTTAAAACTTAAACACTTTAGTGTTGTTTAGATTCCAAAAGAAATTTCATCTGACTTTTATTACTATCCTTATTTTTGGATGAAAACTTCTATGGCCAACAATGAGCAGACTTTTGGAAATGATCGGGAAAATAACCAAGTATATTTAAAAAGTGGATAGATGGTTTATACAGATAAGCTATCCCATATTCACCAAATAGTATAAGAAAATAATTAATGGATCAGGAAGATAACTACTTTCCTCATTTCCTTTCATCAAAAACATCCAATTCAAGATAGAAGATTCCAGTAACAATTATAAAACACAACCAAAAGATACGGTACAAAGCAATTTAACTTACTGAGATACGTGTTGTTTCACAGGTCAGCACTTCATCAATCTAATAGTGCCCAATCTCAGTTACAGCTGTTTCATCTTTGATAAGATTATATTTATGTGCATGATGCCAGTGAGGTAACTGACAGAGATAGGAAGAAGAGGTTGCATTCATAGGCAGTGTGATCTAGATACCTTTGCTTTGTTTACAGGCTAATGAAGAATCAAAAGTTCATCTGTGAGAAACACACCACATCCACACATCCACACCTGAATTGAAGAAATAGGGAACCCGGGCATTAACTAACTTAAACTCATATAATCAGGATTCAATCAGAGAAGAATCAGTAGGAGAAATGTGTGTGTGAATGTGTATGAGTTTGTGTGTGTGTGTGTGTGTGTGTGTGTGTGTGTGTGTGTGTGTGTGTTTATGAGTTGGCTGGAACCCCACAGGCATAAGCTGAAGCTTGTTTTCTTCAAGGAACCAGTCAGGAAGGAAGATAATAGACTGAAGGGAGAGCAATTGTTGATTCAGTGACTGGAGTCTCTGAGCTCAGGAAAGGTTCAAACCCTTTTTATTGTTTATTAATTATTATTTATTTTGTAATTATACTTTAAGTTCTGGGATACATGTGCAGAACATTCAGGTTTGTTACATAGGTATACATGTGGCATGGTGGTTTGCTGCACCCATCAACCCATCATCTAGGTTTTTTAAACCCCACATGCATTAGGTATTTGTCCTGATGTTCTCCCGTCCCTTGTCCCCCAACCCCCCAACAGGCCCCTGTGTATGATGTTCCCCTCCCTGTGTCCACGTGTTCTCATTGTTCAACTCCCACTTATGAATGAAACATGCGGTGTTTGGTTTGCTGTTCCTGTGTTAAACTGCTGAGAATGATGGTTTCCAGCTTCACCCATGTCCCAGCAAAGGACATGAAACTCATTCTTTTTTATGGCTGCATAGTATTCCATGGTGTAGCTGTGCCACATCGTTTTCTTTATCTAGTGAGCTTTTATCAGATTAAGTCAGATGACTTGCTCAGGATAATCTCTCTTTTGATTAAAACCAACTGTTTAGGGGCTTTAATTATATCTACAACATTTCTTTCCAGCATTATTCAGAGATTAGTGTTTCATCGACTGGCAGAATATGTTTGTGTGTGTGCTACAGAATGACTGTCTCCTTTCCATCCTCCAATTCACAAAAGAGAGGGAATATCTTATCTGTTGTATCTCACCCTAACTGGAAATATACTAGAAAGGGAATTTTGGAGACTGTAGTTCATTCTAGCTAAACTGACACATTACAATTACAAAATCATCATATCCCCTCACTTTATAGATAGGCAACTGATGCAGAGAAAGGAAGAAGATTTAACCACGATGACATGGTATTTATAGCGTGTATAGAGCCCGGTCTGCTGGCTCCAGACTCAGCACTTTTCATATTCATATCTGAGGAAAGTCACATTATCAAGATTTATAACTACCCATATTTGCTATTCATTATTCCACAGAAAGGTCCAAAATTTAGAGTCAGTACATATATGGTTGGTGACAAAAATATTGAAGAATCACTTTTGTATTGAATCAAACATTTGCATCAAAGGTATCTGGGGATGTACTTTCTCAAAACCAGTCTTTTAAACAAAATTCTCAGAGCTTCTGTGTTATTAATGAATATATGTCAACTGGGATTAGTAAATACATAAGACTTTTCCAAGACTGTAACAACTAACAGTAATTGTTATACCAAGCAGGCACTACTTTTCCTTTACTGTAAAGACGGCTCTGATTATAGACACTATTGACTCTTCTTCCCAAATGAGTCAGGAGTAAATAGACTCGGGTGGAACTTCTGGCTATAATAGACGGAGTTCCATAACTACAGGGAAGGCAAAGTCTTTCTAGCAATATTATAAGTAGGCTAGTTGCATCACATCTTATCTATCTGCAGTGTTCTATCAAAAAGCTAATCTGGAGAAGGGAAGTTCATTTGCTGAGCCTTGGACTCTTTCAAAGTCTTGCACAAAGTGTTATTGAAAAAAATATAGAAAATACATATAAAATATATAAAAAGAACTCCAGACTGGGGAATCCAGAAAATATGTTTCCAACAAATAGTCTGCTGATAATAGAGTGCTAGTTAAGTCATTCAAGAATTCTGTATCATATATTTCCTAACTAAAAGTGAGGAGGTTCTTTCCCTAACAATAGTGACATATTTTTCATTTGGATACTGTGTTTCTTATCTCTAGAAGTTACATTTGTTTTTTGTTTTTTTTAATAGCTTTCTATTTCTCTTGTCACATTTTCTTTACATTTTGAACATATTTGTAATATATTAGCTGTGCTAAGGTTTTTGCAAGACGATTCTATTATTTCTGTCATTTTGGAGTTTGCATTAATTAATTTATTTTCTTTCTGGTTATGGGTTGTGTTGCTTTTTTGGTAATTGATCATTAGATTGCAGATACTGTAAGTTTTGTATTAGTTTGCTGTATTGTCTGTTTTCACATGGCTAGAAAGAACTACCTGAGACTAGGTAATTTATAAAGGAAAGAGGTTTAATTGACTTACAGTTCTGCATGGCTTGGGAGGCCTCAGGGAACTTACAGTCATGGCAGAAGGTGAAGGGAAAGCAAGGCATGTCTTACATGGCAGCAGAGCAGAGGGAAAGAGGAAGTGCCACACTTTTGAACCATCAGATCTTGTGAGAACTCACTCCCTAGCTTGAGTACAGCATGGGGGAAACCACTCCCAAGATCTAATCACCTTCCAGCAGGTCCCTCCAACAAGTGGGGATTACAATTCAAGACGAGATTTGGGTGGGGACACAGAGCCAAACCATATCAGTTGCATTCCTTCAAAGAGTATTGAACTATGTCCTCACACAAAGTTAAATTACTTGCAGATCATTTTTATTTTTTCCATACTTGCTTTTAAGCTTTGTTAGTCTGGATCAAGAACAGCCTTTACAGTAGGGCTAATTTAGTGCCTTTCTTTCTTTCTTCTTCTTCTTCTTCTTTTTTTTTTTTTTTTTTTTTTTGAGATGGAGTCTCACTCCACTGCCCAGGCTGGAGTGCACTGGTGCAATCTTGGCTCACTGCAACCTCCACCCGCTGGGTTCAAGCAATTCTTCTGCCTCAGCCTCCCTAGTAACTGGGATTACAGGTGCGTGCCACCACACCCAGCTAATTTTTTATATTTTTGGTAGAGATGGGGTTTCACCATGTTGGCCAGGCTGGTCTCGAACTCCTGACCCTGTTATCCTAGTGCCATTTTAAAAATTCTGATATCAC